TGCCATAATAATTAGTTAATTTGCCCTTGCCCTTTTAGAATATTTGGTAACACTTTACGGTAAGGGTACATGAATTACCATGAATTCATGCATAAATTCATGCATGAATTAAGCCTTACTTCATGCATTAATATCTCATGAATTATCAGGAACTAACACGAGTTCAAAGTCTTTCATTCATGACATCAAGGATGAACAACACCTTAATTAAGACATTAACTTAGATGGGTACATCATCATGATTTATGATTTATTACGCATGATCATGATGTTTTCTTTGTTCACAAAGAAAGAAAGGGTCTTTACTATCTACTTTGGATAACTCTATGCTTATGGTACATGAATCATCATCAATTTGTGCATAAAAAAATTGCATTATTTTGTGCAAGTAAGACTACTTTAATTACTAAATGAATTTTCAAAAATCCACATTACCTCATGCATGCAATACAGGCTACAACAGTTTATCAATTAATGTGAGAACTAATGTTTTTCATTAATTATGATCCGAGTTATCAAGCATGTTCATTTATTCTTCATAGTAGCCTGCAGATAAATGGACAGAACCCAACATTGGCCAATCACAGCACATAGCATGTGGATTCTGTTGACATCCAAATACAGCAGTCATCATTAACTAAGCATTAGCTTCTCATGACTTCATCATGTGTGTGGCCCCTCAGCTAAAGTGGTGACTTGGTCCTTTGAAATACTGAAAACCAGTATGTTAGTTGCAGGAGTCTACAGCTTCAGCCATCTTAAAGAAAAAAGATGGTGCATCCTTACTGGATATTTACAAGAATTAACAAGTTTGTATATGTACTGCCATGTGTTTGTGCCATTTATGTGCTTAGTTTATTTTTGTTCAGCATTAAATATTTCATGAGGAGTCTACATCAGTAGCTTGTTACATTAAAAAGGTGGCTCCTTACCTTAAAAAAGAACAAGCTGTGTGTGAAACCTTTTTTCTTTTCTTTTCTGTAAATCATTTAACAGCTTTTTGGTTTTGTAAAGAGTTTTCAGATATACAGGCATTTAAAGTTCCAGCCTGGTCTGATTGTTTATACATAGGTTTTAGTACATAAAATTTACAAGCACAAATTGTACATGTTAGTACATTTACAATTTAGACATAATTCAACATTCAAAATGTACAAATCGCTACGTATTTTTAGCCAAAAAACTTAAAATATTTATATCTTTTATATCATAAAGATATTTGTATCAATGCATTTTTAATCATTTTAGCAATAAGCGATTTAAGAGGTTTAGACCCCCTTAACATTAACCTACCCCCAAATCTACCCATCTTATAGTGAAAACAAAAAGATACAAAATGTAATTGACCGAAATATGCAGGAAAATGACCATTTTAGTAACAATATAGCATAAAAATGTTTTATAGTCGCTAATCCCAATGCTACCTCTAAACCTAACCAAAACTATCCCTGTACAGTATGAGAAAAACATGACAGACAGATAAGTGCAATTACAATCATTTATTTATTGCAAAAATGTCAAAAGAAAGTAATCCAAATGCGATGCGCTGCAGTCCTCTCTGGCGGAATACAATAGGTTTGTATGAGGTGAAGAGCAGAAGTTGCTAATCACTGCAAATATCCAAATTATTATCCCGATCCACTCCGTGAAGGTGCGCGCGCATCATTCAAACACACCTCACCAGAAACACGGCATGTCGCAATCTGTGACGACTCAGGCAAGAGCCAATGAGCGTTCGATTTTCCTGCCGTAAAACCTGTCGTTTCATGAAGCGACAACATTTGAATTTGGAACAAGTGCGTCAGTGCGGGCTTTGCAGCTAGCGGTCGGTCGGTCGGTCGCTGCTCAGGATGGAGATGAAGATTGCCGAATAAAGGCTTGGATTTGCTTTTTTCCTCACAGTCGTATGGATTCTGAAGATTTGGATTACAGCGCACAAATAAAATTGATTCGTTTTGTTGCGTTTTTGGTGTATTTTATGGTTCTATGTTCAGTCACAGCATGTCAGAGAAAACAAAGTAAATATTACATGATAAGTAATAGGGCTGCAAGATATATCGAAATTATCGAAATATCGCAAATGTAAATATCGTAATTTGCATATCGCAAGGATGTGCGATATCTGAATCATTTTAATAATAGGCTACTTAAATCAAAACGTTGCAAAAGGTCAAAGTTTTAGTTCGACGCATATAGCAGAGAATTGCTTGACGTTAAAAAGAGTTAAGTGCAATAAGTTGCAGAAAACAACTCTTTGCCGTCTCGTCTTGCTGTCAGACTCACACCTGAAGCGCGCGCACAAGCCGCACGCACAAGCCGCATCTCACACACACACACACACACACACACAGAGAGACGCGTTTCAGACCGAGTTGATTCGTCTTTCGCATCTCCTCCTCCATATGTTTGAACAGACACATACACACAGAATTATGTCAATAACGATCATGCTCGTAAATTTATATTATCTATGCTTGTAAATTGTGTATTTCTTTTTTTTTTTTTACTGACTGTTCACTTGCCTTCAATCATGTTTGAACTTTCTCAGACTATAGTTTTTGCTGTGGTATATGAAGAAGTACTTAAAGTGTGTGGAAAGCAAAGTTACAATGATATAAAATTAGTGTCATAAATTTTTTTTGTTTGTGTGTTCACATTGATGTTAAACTGACATTTTCTTATTTGTGACATTACTTTTTATGTAATGCTAAAACACTGCTGGTCACTTTCAGAAGTTGTAATGATTCTTTCTTTTCCAAGAAAGAATGTGAAACAAATTGGTTATATAATTTTCATTTTTAAATATTTAAAAATATAATTGAAATTGATTTTACACACTTTAAGCAATATCGTATCGCATATCGAATATCGCATTTTTCTTCAATATCGCACAGCCCTAATAAGTAATGGTTAAACGATTACAGTAATGTTATTCATTTTAAGGGTTCAATGTTTAACATTATGTAGGCCTATTCTTCAAAATGAGTGGCAGCAGAAATCACACAGAACAAAATGTTATCATTTAATATTAAGTAAACGATTAAACAATTTAATAATGCAACTGAAAACATAAAGCCATTAATATGACAACTGAATAATAATAATTAATAAAATTAATACGGCAATTTCAATTTTCATAAGGATTTATTTTTAGGTGTCGTCAATACGTCAGTATTGTACGTTAAAATGCTGAAAATACATAAGTATTGGTTCGTTTAGATGCTGTAAATACGTCAGTATTGTACGTTTTAGTGCCTGTGAAAATGTAAGTAAATGTACGTTTTGTAGAACCACATTTTACGTAAAATACATATGAATTATCATGAGAGGCACTTCAAGTTCATGGTATATGTACTGAATTCCTTCTCAGCTCTTCCCAGGCATTGCTGTTGATTTAACTGGGTTATACTGTTTAAGAATAAAGCAGAAAGTTATAATCAAAGTCATGTTGTGTTTTGTGTACATTGTGTGCAAAAGCTTAAACTTTCATGTTCATATTCATGTCATTTCACAATTATGCCATCATTATTAACATACTGGTTTTCAGTATTTCAAAGGACCAAGTCACCACTTTAGCTGAGGGGCCACACACATGATGAAGTCATGAGAAGCTAATGCTTAGTTAATGATGACTGCTGTATTTGGATGTCAACAGAATCCACATGCTATGTGCTGTGATTGGCCAATGTTGGGTTCTGTCCATTTATCTGCAGGCTACTATGAAGAATATATGAACATAGTTGATAACTCGGATCATAATTAATGAAAAACATTATTTCTCACATTAATTGATAAACTGTTGTAGCCTGTATGCATGCATGAGGTAATGTGGATTTTTGTATATTCCTTTAATAATTCAAGTAGTCTTACCCACACAAAATAATGCTATTTTTATGCACAAATTCAAGATGATTCATGTATCATAAGCATAGATTTATCCAAAGTAGATCGTAAAGACCTTTTCTTTCTTTCTTTTTTTTTTGTGAACAAAGAAAACATCATGATCATGAGTAATAAATCATAAATCATGATGATGTACCCATCTAAGTTAATGTCTTAATTAAGGTGTTGTTCATCCTTGATGTCATGAATGAAAGACTTTGAACTCGTGTTAGTTCCTGATAATTCATGAGATATTAATGCATGAAGTAAGGCATAATTCATGCATGAATTTATGCATGAATTCATGGTATTTCATGTACCCTTACTGTAAAGTGAAATTTTTTTTTCCACAGCTGAGTTGATAACTGTAAAACGCAGCACTCGTCACTGTCACTATTTACCCAGCCGTAAATAGAGGGCAGGTCAGACAAATAGCGACCAACCATCCTACTTGTACAACGACTGCCTACAACAATGGAGAAGTATTACTGGTTACTGCTTTTTTATATTTAGTACAATTCTTAAAAATGAGATAGTAATACTTTGGCGCCGTGGATATTCCAAATCATAGCAACTAAAGCGTCTCAGCTGGAAAAACGCTGGGCCACCAAAGCATTCTCAAGCGCCACCATCTGGTCGTTTTAAGAAGAGCGCCTGGGATTTTTTCAGCTGGCTAAAAACTCTTTGGTGGGCACACGTTATTGAATATTTATTGTTAGGCACATGGCCTATTAGTCTTTTTTTTGCATTTATGCAATATACTGGAGCCAAACCTGAGAAAGTAGACCAGAATATTCCACTGCGTTCCTGGACACGCAATTTGCGTAGTTGTAATTCATAGGCGGGGATTATACTAATTGTGAATGAGCGTGAATAGGAGCACGAGCATCCTATTTACGAATGAATGGAATTCATTAACATACACATGTTTAACTATCAAATCGGACATTTACGAAGCGTTTGTGAATCCGGAGGAGAGTTTTCAGGAAGGGCTGTTTTACGTGCAAATTACTCAGAATTTACTCATATATTTACACAAGTTTCATGAATGAGGCCCATTGAGTGTAAACAGGGTCTTGCCATTTTTTTGTGATCACCTGCCATGTTGCATGACCTACCTGGCTCTCCATCTGGGGTGCTGCTTGCAGTGCTTCCCTGTGACAGCGACATGCAGCTGGAGTCCTCGTCGCTGGGAATGCCGTTCTTACTGAACAGCAAACAAGCATTTCTGCTGCCACCTTCACCTCCTTTCTTCTGAATCTCAGAAGAATCGGTGTTCTCGCCTCCACTGGGATTTAAATTTTCCTCTTTCTCTCTCTCTACTTCCTCGTCTCTAGTCTGCTCTTGGTTTTCTTGATTCTTCTCCATCAGAGTGATAGAAGAGTAAATCAGAAGAGGTTCATCAGCTGCCCAACTGTGGTCAGAGCAGAGCGCTTTCAGGGTCTTGTTCTTCTCTACATGGCGCCGCTGTGAGTTCTGGTTTGGGTTTCTGTCAGTGGATTCATTCTTGTTTTCAACCAGGTTAAGATTCTGGTCTTGCTGCTGCTGCTCTGCTAACTTGCATATTTGATTCTGATCTTCCTTCATCCACTTGGCGTTGCTCTCAGAGCCTGGAAGACTGTGGTCATTCTCCTGATTTCTGCTCCATTCATCTTCCTGGTGCCGGAGGGATACATCATCATCATCATCTAGTCCTCCCATAATGCCTTTGAGGAGCTGGAGAGAGTTTGTGCTGCCGTAATTAAGTTGACTCTTTAGAGAGAAAGGATTTGACCCACGAGTCTCTGTCAGGCCCAACTTTCTTTCATGTGATAAGCAGAGGTGGTCAAGGTTCAGGGAAGGTGGGATGCACGTGTTTTCATTGAGCAGGTCTGATGGGCTCTTCACAGACATGGCACAGAGCTGTAACATACATGCACATTTAGAAATCACACACTGTAACAGCATTAAAAATGATATTTCACACACAAACAAACTCACTGTCATAAACATGGGGCCCTATCATACACCCGGCGCAATGCGACGCCAGGCGCAACGCAAGTGTTTTTTGCTAGTTTCAGCCCGACGCAGTTGTCATTTTCACTTCCTGTGCCACGTTGTTTTAATAGCAAATGCATTTGCGCACCATTTGTGCACATATGGGCGTGCTGGTCTGAAAACAAGGTGTGTTAAGGCGCATTGCTGGTGCGTTGCTATTTTGAGGCAACTGAAATAAACTGTGCCATTGACCAACTAAAACCTGGTCTAAAGCAATGGCGCAGTATATTTTATTAATTTTTTTATTTAAAGAGCACGTTAGTAATATGTGCCTATAGGCGGGTCCACAACATGCGTACACTCTGCTTATTACACACACAGGGCGCAGCAGCACACAAACACGGCAAATATATAAAAAAAAGGATTACAATCTAAAAGATTATTATTGTGTAGGCTACATAAATATAAAAACGCCTACATGTCATAATGGATAGTCGTTGCATGTATCAGAATTAGGCTACCTATTCGCTCGCACACTAGCAGCTCCGTTTCCTCTCTGGAGATGCATTCTGTCTTTGTGCTTGCAAATTCCACCGTGTAAATAGTGAATCCGCCATGGCGCGAGCGCAACTGGCTCTTAAAGGTAATGGGAGATGAGACTCTGATTGGTTTATTGCACGTTATGCCCAAAACACACCCATTACTCATTAAGAGATTAGGGACAACCCTTTTAGACCATGCGCCAGGCACGCCGACCGTTTTTCCCGTCGTTAAACTATAGTGGATTCGGACACGCCCTAAGTGCACATGCGCCGTGCGCTTTAGACCAAGCGCTTAGATCGTTAAAATATGGCCCAAGATAATCCTGGCCATTAAAATTGGGGTTAATAATTTTACATTTCAATATTAACTATTCACATCTAAGGATTGCTTCCTGTACATTTGTGAATGGCTTTCTGTGCATTTGTGGATCCTGAAACATTTCTAGCATCAAGCTACAAAAACATTTCTAGCATTCAAGCGCATACGTCGTGATACTCTCCAAAATGGCACCCTAGGGTGACGTGGAGGATAAGAATTGTTGCATAAATTTGTTATTTTAACTTTCTTTGCACACAAAAAGTATTCTTGTAGCTTCATAAAATTACAGTTGAACCACTGATGTCACATAGACACCAGATTTCATCCAAATTCATTCTCGGATTTCATCAAAAATATCTTAATTTGTGTTCTGAAGATGAACAAAGGTCTTACACATTTGGAATGACATGAGGGTGAGTAATTAATGATATAGGGCCTAATTTTCATTTTTGGGTGAACTATCCCTTTAAACATGAAAAACCAGAGTCAGTGTCGCTTTTAGTTAGAATTACAACTTGATTTTCTGTAAAAAACTGGCTCTCCAGTGTAATGATATTAGTGGGGGGAAAAATTATTTTCATTAAAGTGATAGATTGGTTTGCAGAGATCAAAGCTTGATGTAGTACCAGGACTGTTTTGATTATCATAACCCTAGGAGTATTTTAAAAGAGATGATTATGCTGTGAATTAGGGCTGGGCAATATGACCTAAAAGCAAAACCTCGATAAACTGAACACTTTACCTCGATTACGATTATTGAACGATTATTTTATTTACTTATTTTGCCCTCATAGTTCATTAAAGGTTTGTACTCTAAATATACTCAACTATTAAAGGTGGGATATTTTTTTCTAATGAAAGAGTGCATTTCTTATCTTTGTGATTTTAGACAAAAAAAAATCGATGGAAACAATCTATTTATGGTTATTTGTTTAATATTTTGAAAAATTGAAATCAAAGCACACAAATGCTTGAAATGAAGACGTCTTATGAAAAAAAGTCACATTTCAGTTTCAAGGTAAAAAGCAAGTTTCCTAAAAAAAAAAAGGTTTGCGATATATATTGTGTGCGATAACATCGTAATTGTTGTTTTAACGATGTGCGATTTGACATTATCGAATATTTTGCAAAAAACATTCAAAACACCCCTATAGAGTGCACGCATACATTACGTGAAATCTAGACTATAGTGTGCATGCGCATTAGGGGTTGCACCGACTAATCGACTTCAAAGCTCTGCCATGATGCTTTAAGCTTGACGTCGACTAGTCGCTGGTCCTATAGAGGGCGCAACAGGATAAGAAATTTTTGAAGGACTTCCACATTTACGCTCCGTTTCCAAACAGTTCAAATGACAAATAAATGCATATTCTGAAAGCGCTCCACAAGACGTGTGATTATATTACTGGATGCTCGAAATTAAACAGGAGAATGCATGTTTTAAACGGCTTATTGTTAATTCTGATATTGAACAGTTCAATAAACAAGAAGGTAATTAAGAGACTTACATTTTAGACACCAAATTTCCGGTTTTTACGCTATTTCGACAACAAAAATAATTCCAAACACAGCCGCAATGCTGTTTTGCATCTCTGAGAAACATGGCGGTGTTTCTTTCCTGAATGAATCCACCGTTTAAATGATTTGGTTCAATCTAATCGCAATGACTCACTTATTAACAGTGACTTGCTGCCACCTACTGGCGGTTTTTAATTTCCCATTTAAAGTACCTATTCAACGTTTTATGATTAATATATCAAAACATTATTTATGCATTTTAATGGCAGGTTAAAGCATTAAACAGTGTGTAAATACATCTAAATTCCACTTCAGATGCAGCTTCTCTGTTTCCTCTGCATTGCAAAGATGAATTTTGTTGATACTGATTTCATTTGCTCGGTAACAGCCCAAATGTCTTATTATTCTAATTCACTGATTAAATGTAAGAATTTGACTCAAAAGATAATGGACACTTTTAGAAAAAATGGGTTTATAAAGGCAAAATGCCCATAAAATGTAAAAGTCAATTTAAACTTACTGGAAAAGATTAATTTCTATCAGTGTGAACTGACCAGCACACAGAATATGAAGAATATCAAAAACTGTAGGCGTCAGCTGTCCACGGATGTCCATAAGATACCAGCACAATAACACACTCAGCAAAATATAGTCTAATTATCATTATCGATAAAATCCCAGAAAATATTTGATTAATTATTTATTAATAATTATTTTTTGTCAATATCGCACACCCCTACGTCAAGCGTCAAATACAAAAGTTGCCATGCCAACCTGCTAATGTAAACAAACGCTTGCTCCGCCTCCAGGGTCTTCTGATTGGTCCACTGTTTCGGAACTGACATTGATGAGCGGCTCTGCTGCGTGTAAAGTTTAAGTAAGGTTTAATTGATGATGGGCCGTTGAATTCTTAGAAAATAATGCACACCCTCTGTTGCTAATTCCAAAATGTCATTTTAGACCTATAGGTCTAAATTAACTGCATTAGTCTGCTATCAACGGCTCAAACTTCCGTTACTATAGTAATGCATTTAATAACTAAATGAGAGAGAGAGAGAGAGATTACCTCTGTGAGTCTGTGCATCTCTCAAAAGTGTTCGGCAGCAATGTCTCTAGTAATAGTGACACTTTAAGTTCATTTTCTTCACGAACAGCGCCGTTGTTGTTACCTCGCTTGTGAGAAGTCATGTAGTTTTTAAGTTGTTAAACTATGTTATTGATAAAATCGTTAGAGTAGCGCTAACAACATTAGCATGTGTGTGCAAACTGTATGTGCGTCTGTGAGGGAGAGAGAGCGGAAGAGATAAGAGTGTGTGCTTTCCGTACTAGGCTTGCCGCGATAGATGGTGCTGACGGTGATACAGTTGTTAAGCCACAAAACCGGTTACGTCACTTGCCCACCGCGGCACCGACCCCCACCGTCGTTTAGATTTTTTTATAGTAATAAAAATAATTTAGTTCAGTAAAAGAACAGACACTACAATTAAAAATTAAACGCGGCTGCTCAATGTAGCGTGCTGAACGACAGTCGCATTACAGATCAGATTTCATTAAACCAGTGAGGAGAGTGAGTCAAGCTGACTGACAAGAAGAGTGGGGT